CCGTCTGGTTTTATTATAATTTCAGGTAACTTTGTCTCGATGGTACGTATTATACATTCGCACCAACGAATCTTTTCTATTTTAATCTTGCGACTACATTACGATCAGTATAGTCCTTTATAATTCGAGATAATTCCTTAGGTATGCAGATAATAATAATATATTCGAAAGACTTAAGTTTGTATGTTCATACGATGATAAAGATTTATAAGTAATGTATTAGCTTATGCAAAGATTGAAGACATTGAAAAAAAAAAAGAAAAAAAAAAAAAGAAGAAAAAAAGAAAAAATGAAATGAATATAATCGCATCATTATCGGCACACGATATAAATAATAATAATAATAATAATAATAATAATAATAATAATAATAATAATAATAATAATAGTTATAATAATAATAATAAATAAGAATATCTAATATCGAAAATACAAGTGAAGTAAACTGGAAATGAGATGATTCTTTGTATTCGTATAAATGAAAGATTGAGCGCGTGGATATAAATTTCTCTGAACGAAAAAGTCGAAGACCGGTATAAGAGAGGAAGATGATGCTTTCGTGATAATAAAAAAAAAAAAAAAAAAAACCCTGGTCGCGACTTCTCAGCGTTTTTCTTCGAAAAGGTCAGAGTAAAAGAGAGGGCAAGTAGAGAGTCGGGTAATTGCGCGAAAGAAGAAATAAGGCGCAAAGAATGTGAATCGCTCGAGCGTCCTTACGCTTATGACTTTGCCCGTTTGTCTCGTCTTCGTATAATTCGAGTAAATTTTTCCTACTCTTCGTCTCATCTCTCTCTCTCTCTCTCTCTTTCTCTTTCTCTTTCTCTCTGTGTCTATAGTATTCGTTTCGCTTCGTATAATTTAATCTCTAGGTACATTCGTTTTATTCATTCTAACGAGAAGTCGACTTCAATAAAATAGAATAAACATTCGGCGATGCAATTTAATATTATATTGTATATATATATATATATATATCGCGATATTATATCGCAAATTTAATATCGCGTACGATAATAGTTTAGAAATAACTTATTAACGAAAGAAGAAGAATATGCTTTAAAAATAAATAAAAAGAATTTATAAATTTTCGATATCTAACTTATTTCGAAGAAATGATAATTTTGATCTAAAGTTAGAATATTATTTTACAATCGAGAAAAGACGATTAATTTGTCTACGATCCCAAACGAGATTATCGTTCTGACAAGAAACGCTTTAATCGAGAACGTAGAACAGATAGAGCAAGAAATTCGTAAGCAGTATGTTACTTCTCGTTAATGAATTGTGTTTGGTTCCTTCTATCGGGCAACGAAGGTTAACCGCAATCAACGATATTAGATGACTCGGTGCCTAATCGCGGTCGCACGATCTATTCTTCAAACATACCTTCGTGTTTCCTTTAGTTTCCAATACATTAGCTCGCTTAGATTAAGGAAGGTTATCCCGTATAAATACATACGAGAGAGATAGAGAGAAAAAGAGAGAGAGAGACAGAGACAGAGACAGAGACAGAGGCAGAGAGAAAGAGAGAGAGAGAGAGAGAGAGAGAGAGAGAGTGAGAAGTACAACTGGGATTAAATATGCCCTGCTATATTAAGCACACTCTTGAGAATCTGATTCCCTTGAATATCGAGGGTCTGTTCTTAAGCATAGAAACTAATGAATAATTCTTCTTTATTAATATACAAAGAGACCCATATAATTAGCAGGATGGCAATGTATTCGATCTAAGGAAACGTCAAGTCCTTTGTATTTGAAGAAAATAAACGAGGGAAAACTTTGACGATCTATCTTACAAATTACTTTTTTCTTCTTTCGATTAATCGTAAATCCATACTGTTCCGTCATTATATTCAAAAGAAAAAATGTTAAATTCGGTCGAATACAAAGTAGTACACATTTGTTTACTATGATATTATTAAATTGTTCTTTTTATCTCGAAATTAAATTTCAGAAAAATACACATACTCTTATCTTTACGCTTGTTCGGATGGTATTATCACAGTGACAAAAACAATACACAAACACAACAAAGATTTTTTTAACAAAGTAATTAACGCAAAAGTTACTATCATGATTACTTCCTACCCACAACTTTCTCATGTACATGAGCTGCTATTGTTACTCCTTTTACCGTCTTTGTTACTTTCCGTCGTATTTTATCTCTCGTAAGAGAGAAAGAAATGCTAATATTTTTTACTTACCAGTAAGTGAACCAGTTACCAGTAAGGTAAGTAAAAACTATTAGCTCTCTCTCCTTCTCTTTCTCTCTCTCTCTCTCTCTCTCTCTCTCTCTCTTTCTTTCTTTCTCTCTCGGGAGTACTTTGGAATTCTAAAACATCGGCAGATCTTTTTTCCCCACATCTTAATCACTTAAGCGTGATTTTCACTTTATTTACACCTTGTATACACACGAAAGAGGCTCATCGCCTCCGCAGACGTTACTCCCGGTAGAAGGGGGTATATATTTCCCCTGCATTACCCTAAATGCGAATATCGGAGGGTCGGATTATACCGCGGGAACTCAACGCGTATAATTTTCTTCGTTGAATATGCAAGTAAAGATACAAACGGAGAGAGAGAAAGAGAAAGAGAAAGAGAGAGAGAGAGAGAGAGAGAGAGAGATACCTCTCCTACGTCCTAGAGACGAGCAGCAATTTTTCACGAGAGGTTAAATTCAGACGGACCGTAAAACCATTATAATTTTGACTGTATTTTCTTCTTTCTCTCTTCACCGTTAGAACGAGTTACGCGATTAAAATTAACATCCCGTAATATAAATTAATCGAGGCCTCTCATTTTTTTTTTGTTTTTGTTTTTGTTTTATATTTTAACTCGAACGACATTAATTTTCAAAACTTACGATTGATTTTGATTTTCTATTATGCTTTTAATAGAAATAAATAAGATATAAAATAAAATAACCCTCTTTTTATGTCATTTACAAAATCATTTCGACGCGTAGAAGATCACGTGAGTGTGAAAAAAAGGATCTGACGATAAAATTCGAAAGAGTCCTATTTCATCATCGTACAAGATATCGTTCTCGTACGTATATATTGAAATTGTTGAATAGAAGAAGAACGTCAAGATCTAAAATCTTCGCATTATTCCTTACGGATGATAAAATGCGAAAGAAGATATCTGGTTTGACACGTTGAACGTCGTTCTTAAGGTTCTTATAATGAAATTTTAGATTTCGTTTAACCTACGAGAAATATCAAATTCCTAACATCACGAAGTCATTGGGGCAAACGTTGATAGACAAGGACATCCAAAAAAAATAGACAAACTTACAAAGACACGGCTAATTTTTCTTAAAACGATATAGTTTAGTATATCCGTTAAAGGCGTAAACCTTGCCACAATCTATACTTAATCATAATAACATTGTATTATTTTAATCCATATCTATGTCGATTAAAATTATTAAAGTTAATCGTATGTGAGAATCTATTGTTTCGAATGAAATTTCTTCTATTTCTTTTTCGTCCAAATTTTCTTCTCAAACTCTTTTTAAGTTTCCCGTTCGTCAGTATTCTGGTAAAAGATCATCGAGGTTGAAAATACTATGAGACTTTTTTTTTCATGTTACCTTTTTTTTTTTTTATGTCTGTAATACCTTCATGAAATTCAAGCTGGAAGTTCTGCTTTTTCCAGTTAGAAAAGGTAACAGAGATGCGTTCGCATAGAAGTGAAGAGTTACTACTACTTGGTATCCCATACACAGAACATATACACATAGACATGGACATGGATAAACTCGTTCAAATGGAGACGTATGTAGTTGTCGAAAGGGACGAGTTTCTCCTGTTCACAGTACGCGGTCGAATATTCAAATTCCGATGAAACTCCGACGTGGAAATTTTGCTGATCCCTTTAGGGCACCGTTAGAGTCATTACTTGGTTTACAGTAATAGCGTGGCTTACAATAATAAGCCCTACGTGCAAAGTTTATTCCCAGCCGCAAATCTGTTGTTTGATTCCTCCGGCACGAGCTTACATTGGGCGTTTGTAACTTTCGGCTAATTAAGCAACGTAGCTTCACGTTAATTACATCGACGAGAGTTCCTCATTGTATGAATCTTGACATGAGTAAAATGCGGAACATCACAGTAAAGATTTTTATTGAAAAAAAAAAAAAAAAAAAAAAAAGAAAAAAAAAATTACAAAGGAGTTCGATTTATCAATTAAAACGGTAATATCGAATTAAATTTGAAACGAATGAATTATTTATTAGTCTCCGACTTGCGTATGGATTACTTTCATTTTTTTTATTTCTTTTTATCATTTTCTTTTTTTTTTTTTTTTTTTTTTTTTTTTTATATCATACTTACAATAATCGTCAATATAAAGCAGAATAAAATCTTGTTATTCTTTATTGTAATGTGTCCCAATTCAATCTAACATGATTTCAATGAAATCGAATGTCAATTCGTTTCCTTTCCAAATTCGATATCCTTCGAGAAAATCAAAATGTCTAGTTGGTCGATCCCTATGGGAAAAAAGTCCTTCAATTCTCTGAAGGATTTCGATTCGTAGATGGCGATAGAAATTTTTCACATTTCGACGTTATCTAAGCGCGTCGAATTACTTGGTACGTCCGAGCTGAGCGAACGATTTGAATATAAAATTCCCGATTCATCATGCATGCAAAACCGGAAAACAAACAGAGTGAAAATGGAACTTGGGGGTATGTCGGGCCATTATCCTGGGATCTTATTGATTCTTATTATGCAGCGAAGCGTGCTGGAATAATCTATCTTGTCGCGAGTATACGCCACTTGCTAGTAATCGAAGGAAAACAATTTTGGATCGCAACATAATCAAACAAGAAAGTTAATGCTGAACACGATCGCTTCTAATCGTCCAATTAATTTTTCGAGTCTCATTCGACCGAAGGACTTATATCACTATTTTCTTTCTTGTTTCTTTTTTTTTATTTTTTTTTTTTTTACTTTTTTTTTTTATTTTTTTTCACAATACGAAAAGGTACTCACTCTGAGAGTCTCCAGTTGGGAGCGCACGAATTCCGCTCGGCTGGCAACGTCGGGAATCGCCACAGGAAACGAACCCATGTACTGAAAATAGACAAATAAATAAATATTAGTATTCCGAATTTTGTTGAAAATTTGCAAGGAAAATGATATCTTAATGATTTTGAAAAATGTTTTCGACATTGTTCAATTTAATAATTATATTTTTAATATAAATAAAAATTTATAATAAAAATTTCACGATAGAAGATGTAATTATTAATCATGATGGAAAATGTAATATTAATGAAAAAAAGGGGAAAAAAAATTTCACGTAAGGTACAATTTTAGAGGTCACTTATAAATCCGATATAATAGCGATAGATACGCGCGAGCATGAGCAAAGTTCGATATGGGGCGCAAAGTGAAGCACAGGCGGTGGGAGAACTCGAGAAAGTGATGCGCGATGTAAAGTCATATGGCGCTTGTAACATTCATGGGAGGTGGAGGAAACCAATAACCCCGTTCGAATTATTGAGCGAGTATACGAAAGCTCGAGCAGGTTTCGAACGTTCTCTACGAGTTTTCATTGGTTTATTTCTTATTTGAACGAGCGCAGTGATCGTACGAGAGAAAAATCAATAAAAATGAATTTTTCAAATATCACTTATTTTCACGGCCATAGTTCATGAAAATAAAGAACTCGAATTAAAATATTGTCTATATTTTTTCCTCTGTTCATCTCTTTATTCTTTTCTCTTTATTATTTTTTTTTGTTTTGTCATCTTCTTCCTTTTATCTTAATCTTAACAAAACATAACGCAAATAAACGTGCAATTGTTCGATAACAAAATTAATTATCGATTTGATGAAATAATTGTGTTTCACGACCCACAGGGAATTCCCTCAGAGCTAGAGACTTCTTGGAACAATAAAAAGAATCCAACCTAACCTACGACAAGAATTTCATTTCCCTTTTTCGCTCAGAGGAGATTTTGCCCACCGGTACCAGCCGTCCTTTTTCTTTTCTTCGTAGAACTGCCATTTCCTTTCGATAGTCAATTTGGTTCACGATCATTCGTGTCTTCGAAGAAAAGGAATGGAAAGACGAAGAAGCTTGGAAATTTCGTTTACTTCCTTGACCAAGACGATTCCTTTTGTCACGATTATTTCGAATTCCAATGAAAATGTTTCTACCGTATTTATTCATGCGAATTTTATTTTCCTATCCTTTGTGTATGCTCCAATGGAATTCAAAGGAGTTAAAAACAGTGATATGTATACGTGGAGTTCTCTGCAAAGAAGACAAGTATCGCAAATAACATGTGCGAGTGACGTTTTATCGTGTCGACAGAAAAGAATGATAGAAAAGAGAGAAAAAGAAAAAGAGAGAGAGAGAGAGAGAGAGAGAGAGAGAGAGAAACGAAGTGTACTCGAAAAGCTGGAATACGTGAGATGATCTGGCAGATATTACCATTCCTTTGCGATATGAAAGATTTTATTCGATAGGTTCGAGTATTAATCATGACGAATTTATTCTTTTAAGAGAAGAAAAGAAATTCATTTCTTTTCATGAATATGAATAAAAATAAACGAACTGAACGAGAATAAAATTCTTAACACGAGGAAATGAAATAATAATAATAATAATAATAATAATAATAATAATAATAATAATAATAATAATAATAATAAAGGTTTATCCATTAAAATTAAAACAAATGTATCGTTCTGTGTCTATCAGTTTTCATTTGCAGCGCGTATCAAATTTCAAAGCCTGGATAGATTAATCCAATATAGTTTAATTATTATTGGATTAAACTATATTCAAACGCGTGAAAACGTCAAAAAGGACAGGTAAATAATAGTCGGTAAGAAATATGTCGGGGTTTCTCACGTATATAAATCTCGATGTAACGAGCGTTGGAAAGATAAGGAAAGTTGGCTCGCCTCGAGAGAAGAGAAAAGAGGATGGCCAAGAAAAGTGACTGAGGCGAAGGGAGAAAGGGGCAGTTTCGTGTTTCGAGCGTGGGCATTGGTCTTTCTCGGTCAAACGCGTCGTCCGACGATTAAATGGTCGATAAAAATAGCGACCCTCCTTATAACGACAATAAATAAAAGCCCGGGGGGTAGATTCCAGGGTCGCAATAAATAACGGTACCTCGTGCAATTATGTTGCGCTTTGGTCCTACATTACGCGAACGTGTTTCCCTCGACGAGTCTGCTTCATATGTATGAACGCGGATACATACTTATCTATAGAGTATGCTTACCATAGTATCAATAAAAATCGATTCGGTATATAAAAATGAATTATAAAAGTTTTTACAAATATTTCTTCCATTCAGTTATCTCAGTTACAATTACATAAATTAAAGTTATATATATATATATATATATACATATATACATATATTCGAATATATTACTTTAAAAGAAAAATAATTGTATAGTCTATATAACTGTATAGTATAAATTAGATAAGAAAAATGTTATTAATGATTATGAAGTCTCTTTTTTTTTTGTTTTTTTTTTTTTATTTCCCATGTTCCATTTATTCGTAGAATTATATCCACGAATTATTATGGTACACCCTATATAAATTTCTATATATCTATATATAAGCAAAGAGACAAGAACGAAATTAACGATGTAAATAAAACACTCTATAATTTCTCTCTAACTATAAATATATGTCAGCTATGTATCCGTGACGCACCGGTTCGTCCTTCGCGTTCATCCCCGTTATCGTAGATTCCGTGCCTGCATCTATCCTTTTTCTTACGGTCATGCATACGATTAGAAAGGCGCATACAAGAAACTAACGGATCTACTCAATCGAGTCTGATTTCTTAGCCGCTTTCTCGATATCTTTCAAAGATCTCTTTCAAAACTATCGTTATAATCTACGTCATCATGTTTTCGAACCTTTTAATGGGGAAAAAAATAAAAAAAGAATAAAAAAAAATGACAGAAAGAAAGCCCATCGTCGTTTTTTTTTTTATTTTATAATCTTTAAAACGTTCCAAAAGGGCACGTATGTCGACCTTTTTTCTAATTTCCTGAACAATCGAGGATAAAATACGCGTTGGGTGAGAACGAGCGACGAATACCGTAGTAGCTTAGTAACATAGGAACGTTTGAAACGCGCTGCAAATCGACGTCGAGAATTTTAATTAGAAATCTCTCTCTTTCTCCCTAAATCCGATATGAAATTTCGAGAATTTCAAGAAAGAAGAAAAAAAGAAAAAAGAAAGAGAAGAAAAAAACGTGGAAGATAGAAAGAGAAACTTTTCGATAAGGTAAATCCAGGTAAAACAGAAATATTTATGAACTGACAGAACATGATTCGCTTTTTCCTTCGTTTCGAATTTATAATTTCCTTATGATACGATATTGCTTCCTTACGTATGTTGCAACAATCTATGGTGTTGCTATATTTCAACTTTCAAATATTACCTATCGTACCACCATTTATTTATATATGCATGTAAATATCTATGTATATAAAATGGTAATATAATTCTCATTTTAATACTTGCGAATAATTCTCATTGTTATATTTTATCGAATTTCTCTACCGAAAGTCCGTGATATTTTTCGAAAAACGGGACGATTTTTTTAAATCCCTTGCATCATCAATATAATACACCATAACATCGATCCTAAAAGCATACGAGTAAAATTCATTTAATGAAAACTTCAATGCGATCGGATTCAAATATTTATTTTACGATTGAATATCGTATCATCTGTTAGTTTATAATCCTCAGGATAATAATCCTTTCGTGTGAATGAATTTTTCTCAAAATTGATAAAAAAAAAAGAAAAAAAAAAGAAAAAAAAAAAGAAAAAATTTAATATCGATGTTGTTGGCATCGTATTAATAGTCAGTTGATAACAACGATCGATTTACATCGTTGCACGATACTTCTCGGAATCGTACAATTACATTCGAATCATTTTTTCATACTGTCTCTCACAAAGGAATTATATACGTTCCACGATCATGCAACATGAATCATGGTACATGTTTGCGTTTCAGTCGACTCGTGGTCCAACTTATACACATACATATATATATATATATATATATATACACCGTTAATTTCAGCGAATATAGACACGTAGAGAGTAGAAGAATGCAAAAGGGAAAAGATTTTCGAATGTAATAGACCATTGATAATACCAGCTTGCATAATAATCGTTCCGATTAGGAAACACTGGTAAAGTATTTGCTTATTAATCTTATTACTATCTATAATATATCTGTCATATTATCTATAAACATAATTATCTATAATATAACGTAATATAATAATAAATATCAATATCGAGATTCATTTAGGAAGAAAAAGAAAAAGGATATTTAATTAAGAAACGATATAATTAATACAAAATTAATTCACAAAGATAATTTCATTTCTTTTATTAATTAATGTCAAAGGAATCAATTTTCAAATGGAGAAAAAAAAAAGCATTTCACGAGAGTATTTTTTTATTCTCTTGCGAAATGTTAATACACGTACCACCATGTGGATCGAAATTGCGAGGAGTCTTTTTTTCACAATGAACAGGAACGAAGTAAATAGGTATGCAAATTTCAGTAGAGTGCGGTACCTCTGAAAAAGAAGAAAGAAAGAAAGAAAGAAAAAAAGAAAGACAAAAGAATCGTATAGCCGTCTCACGGTTTAATAAAGGCCGAATAACAGGTTGCACGATTAATGCAGAATGCGATTACTTTCACTTTTTATGAGTGGCAACCTCTTTCGACAAACTCCAACATAGTTCTCTCATAATCGGATAAAACGATAGGGTTGGTAGGGATAGTGGATATAAACCTATGTCTATTGGTAAGAAGATAATAAACTTCTAGAGAAGAGAATTAATTGCATCGGCAGATTTATCAACTGAACTAATAATTGACGAAGATATAATTAGATAAACACAATACGTATGATTTATTTTCATGATTACAAACATTTGTCACTTCGAGAATATCGATATTTTTTTTCTGTTAATCTTGTGAAAAATATATCTGTAACGTAAGAGAAAGAGAGAGAAAGAGAGAGAGAGAGAGAGAGAGAGAGAGAGAGAGAGAGAGA